ACAATGAGAGTAGTCGGGTATCACCTCAAGACAAAACCGACTTTTACAACTTACGTTAAAACACAATGTAACGATACGGCGTGGTAAATGGTTTTGAAGTTGCAGTTGGAACAACAGATCCAACGGGGAGTTGATTTAGAGTGATCAAACTGTGTGACTGCACGAATTAAAACTCCATGCTCGTTTTCTCGGAACACTTTGGATTTCAGGACTACGACGGGGCAATTGCGGACAAGGATTATAACGGGCAATCCGGACATTTGGTGTAGAAGATTATCAATGGTCTAGTAATTAAGTATTATTCTCCGATGAATCCTAATTTGACTTCCGTCCAGATTTACGTAGAGTACCTGTTTAGCGAACACTTGGACGGAAGAGCCGCCTGAAAGACCACAAGATGTCCATCTATATTAATTTGAAAATTCTATGATGAGGTGCTCGAATCTATATTCCGACCACACCGGTCGCAAATCGGTCAAAATTTGATGCATATGCATGATAATGCTCGTACGGCTCGAGTGGCTGCGGCAATATAATAACGACCCTGGACTGTCTCGCCCTGTCCTCGGATTCAAATCCGATTAAACACGCAAAAGATATGTTTTAAAGGAAAGATTTACAAAAATTTGTCATAATTTGATGACAGAAAGTGAACTTCTTATGCATCTTCATCGAACCAGCGATCTTTTTTTTATATGATAAGGGTGACAAGCGAGCAAACAGTTTACCTGATGGTAAGTAGTTGCTATGGCCTATAGACATCTACATCTATCCTTGTTTGCGAATCAAAATGCAGATGTGTTATCAGCCGTGAGGATTAAGATGGAATGCCCTTTTCCAGTAAAGAGGGTCTCCGGTTCTCTACATTCACCATACGAAACACAGCAGTATGCCGCTATAACTTTACCCTACAAGAAGATATTGATAACCACATTTTTAGTATAGGTAATCGTTTCAGATGCACTATGAATAAACGAGCTGCTTTTACAAAATTTTGATTTTGTAGTTAATCTAATATTTCATAATTTATTTCGTCTGTTTCTTAAACGAAAAACAGAAAATCATATTTTAGTACAAGGTGACCTTTAAAGACATGTTTTTAAAGAAATAATAAGATTTTCATTTAATTTGCTATTAGAATATAAAATACTACGCAGTTTGATATAAACATATTTCAGTAAATTCTACGCAGTTTCTTACAATACATGAATAACTAAAATATCCCTAGACTGTGTTGATGTATTTATTTTATTTTCGATTAACGAAAATATTTTCATTCATTACAGCTTATCAAAAGTCCTATGCTGAACATAGGCCTCTCCTAAAGCTTACCTCATATGGGGGATTTTGCCAAGTTGCCATGCCTGGCATGAGATTTGGCAACCGTAGTTATTTATTAGTTTCAGTTGTTTTCAGGAGGATACTGCTACCAATCTCCTGTTTCAGTTTCCCTCTTTCACCTTTTACGACACCCACGGGATGATATGGGTCGTGAATATTCTTACGCCACCCCTAAAAGGCACTGATATACGAAATTTTCATGTTTTTGAAGGAGGGGTTTCCTAGGAGTCTGGGTAGATAGGACCACCCTCCTACCTATTTCTGCCAGCAGTGCGTTCACTTTCCTTCCGTTCCGAAGGATAAAGAGAATTAGTTTAATTACAAGCTGTATGCAATGCATCAGAGACTGTAAAATATTGGTATAAACGTCGCCGAGTACCGGAACAAACTTGTGTCTGAAATCGAGTCTTTGCTGTCTCAAATTGAGGCGGACTAAATTAAGACACAAGTTTGCGCGTTTATCGCTAAAAAGAAACTCTTTGTCGTATCTCCTCAGTTTCAAGGCACTCTCCTTGTTGTCCAGGCAGCCAGTATCGGAATCCTCGGCGTCGACATTTCGAGTGACACGCAGTTTCGTGCCGGCACACCGCCTGCAACTTTCATCTCTAAGCAGGGCCTCCCAGTGCCAGCTCCTTCCACTTGACCGCATCCATTGCAGAGCGGCTCGAATCGTCAACGACCGAGTACTTTCCGATCGGCTCAATTCACCGGCGCTGCGAAGAGATGTTGCATCTCTTTGCGTATTTTATCGCATCCACCACAAGGAGTGCTCTGAGGAATTGTTCGGACTGATTCCAGCCGCTCAATTTCACTATCGCACATCATGACAAAACTCGCGATACCATCCATACCATCTGGATGATTGGCAGTCCACCACTGTGCGATTTAGAAGAAGTTTTCTTCCTCGCACAACATCCTTGTGGAATCGATTACAACCAGCGATTGTTCCGAGCCGATACGACTTAGGGACCTTCAAGAAAAGAGCCTACTCCTTTTTAAAAGGCCAGCTACGCATCTGCAATTCCCCTGGTGTTGCGGTTGTTCATGGGCGGCAGTAGTCACTTACCATCAGGTGAGCCGCATGCTCGTTTACCCTCGTTTACTCCTATAAAAAAAATCTGTAGCCTGTAAGTTCTAAACTTTAGTTCATCATAAATCTATATAAATATTTTAAACGTGGAAGAATTTTATACGTGGTAGAGCCATGCTGCAGCTATATTAGTAGTATACTTGTAGCACGAATGGGTAGGCCCGACCGGGAAAGTACCACGCCCTCACAGAATACCAGCGTAAAATAGCAGCTTAACGCTGCTGTGTTTCGCCTGTGTTTCGTATGGTGAGTGTAGAGAACCGGAGACCCTTTTTATTGGAAAAGAGGCATTCCATCTTAGTCCTCACGGCTGAAAACGCATCTGCATTTTAATTCACAAACGAAGATAGATGTACATGTCTATGGACCACAGCAACCACTTATCGTCAGGTGGACTGTGTGCTCATTTGTCACCCTTATTCTATAAAAAAAAATGTTGTAGTTCGTTTGTTCAAATTCTTAAATCTCAGAAATTTCTTCACCGATTGCTTTGAAATTTCGACACAACGTTATACACAAACAGTTTTTGAGCCACACCAACGCATTGCCGCGTACAAATAGTAATAAATATATAAAAATCTGCCCCGCCATTTGCACTATTGTACCTAATTTTTCGTTATTTTTGATTCCTAATCACAGACTAACAAATAAAGAAAAAGAAATCGCTGCGTACATTTCAAGTAATTCAAAAACCAAGCCAAAACTATGCTAAACTTATAGTAAGAACACGCTGCATATGTGTGCTTCGAACAGTAAACTTTTACTGGCTGGTAAGGAACGTAGGATGAAAGATGTATGCGTGAGTGCAAGTTAAGCATAGTTTCAGCATCACTTCAAATGTACGGAGCGCTCCATCTATCTCTCTTTCTTGATCTGAATTCGTAATACAAACATCTGCAAAAAACGATCAAATAGTAAAACAAATTTCCCTTCCTTGTGCTCCGTCGCTTCGATGTGCTTTCTACCGTTCGAGTTCGAAGTGCCAGGCAATACTTTGAGTCAGGTAGCGTAAGATTTGAATCCTTTACGAGCAATCTGATACAAACAAAAACAACATAACGCTTACGCGAGCGCAATTTATTGCTTATGAATTATTTTCCGCCTTTAGTTAATATCACATGTGAATTTAAAATAAGCGACCGCGTGTGAATGATAATATGAACGTGCTTTGTAATTAGTAGTGGAATTATATTTTTTTCTAATAACATTTTTTTCAAGCATAAATTATAATTTATTATGTAATATATAACGGTAGCGCTATGGCTAGACGTTTGGCTACGGCGCTGCAAGCCATTCGTTCGAATCCCGTGCAGGGCAAGTATTTATTTAGCACAAAAATTATTGTACCGGTGCTGGATGTTTGGCAAATTGTAATTTATGTGTATAAAACGTCTCCATACAGCAGGAGAATTTACTAGTGAAAATTTTAAAGAAAAATCTAAATATTTGCTTAATAAAAAAAGGTTTTCGGGTTTCAGTTTCGCTTCAAAAATTTCAATCGGTTAAAAGGAGGTCTAGTTTAGATGATGCCTTCATGTTTTTCTACATTGTATAATTTAAGTAGATACTTTTATGTCAATACATGTATATTTTGTTGCCGTATGTTTGCAATATGAATGATCGTGATGGAGGCTACACAGTACGTAAACAACCCAAGTTTGATCCCCGCCGACACCCTTGAAACAGTCAATTGTTAATTTAAATGCCAATTATCACGTTTCCGAGGGAGTATAAAAACATCATGAAGAAACCTGCGTGTCTGTCAAATATAATATTTCGGGGATGCATGAATTCCGCTTGAAATCTTTTGAAAATGAGTATAGGCCTTGTTATAAGACTAGTATAGGTTTACTTTATGTTTGTAACATACTGAACTTATAAATTACTCAATCGTCCGTTGCTCTAGTCGATATAGGCCAAAATAACTATATGAAAATGTGTTTTGTGTGTTGGTATCAAACTGAACTGTTAGAATAGTCAATTAGTTCATGCTAGGATCACAAAGGTACAATTTTAATTAAGCGTGTTGGCCGGCTTTTCGTTTCGACTTGACCGCGATAGCTCTACATACTACACAATAAAAATACCGAACATTTCTAGGTTTGCGTTGCGGCGACTCAAGGCTTGAAGAAAACCGCTTTCCTGCGATAAAATGGAATTGCTTAGATTTTTTATAATACTAATCTAAAATTAATATTACACGGTTAACTTAGGGTAACATTATGTGTGTTTATGTGAACTTTAAATTGACTCTTAAAGAAAACATTATATAAGATTAATTGTTCGTCGTCTTACTATAAACATTAGTTAAGATCGAGTAACTTGGTGTATAGTGGTAACTTATGTACTAACTCCTTTGAAAACAATCCGAGTTACCGCCAAGTATCCGGTGTGTCTGAAATTCCAATTAAGGGGAAGCTCTAGCGAGTTCGCAGGTCGGCTGCACGCGGCGATCACTCACTTGCACTTTTAATTAATTTATTTATTGAGTCGCGAATCGACAGCGCAACTCGCGCCACCGCCCTGCCCCGCCGCCGGCTATATAAACCGTCGAGGACCGGTGACGTCCGTCAGTTTTCTCAGGGACGCCGCGGGCGCCGGCGCCCAACCCCGGGAAAATGTGTCGGGAAGACGAGGGTTGATTCTTTTTAAATTTTTAAAACAGTCGTAATGTAGAGGGGTCGCTTTGGGCGTGTTGGGGCTCGGCTGGAGTCGAAGCGGTGGAGCAGTGACCTTGAGGTAAGTCGGTGCACGCGCGGAGTCGTTCGATAGGCCGCGCCGCGCCGCCCGCCCACGAGCTGCACTACAGCTGTTTTATTTGATAACGTGTCGTTTCGTAGGCTATAAACGATTTATTGCTTCAGTTCCGTTGCTCCGTTTCTTCCTATGTATTGAAAACGTTGAATTTTTTTTTCAAACATTTTTATCTCTCGTCAGCTATGTCTTTTACTTTCATTTTAATGTATCATTATTATCTTTATATTTTTTGCGTGGTATGAACATTTCATTTATTTAAAATGCTTTTAATTTATTGAAATAAAAAATAAATAATATTCGTTATGCATTCTACAAAACGTCCGGGTTTAAAATTTATACGGGCTGTATTTTTTTGCGAACTAAACGTTAGCTCTATGCGGTATTATATCCGATTTTTCCTGAATGCAACGGTCATGGAAAATATATAAAAGAACGAATTGCATATTTCAAATATGTTCAAAAACTCAGTCAACCGCGAACGAAAATTTTTCATGCCCGCTGATGCGGCGTTTCGCGATAACATTCATAATACATATCGCGCCCTCGGGGTTTTGAGTTGGTACTAAAAATCGTGTTCCTCGTGAATCGAGCGGTTTTACGTACACGACGTACATAGTTGGTCCGCGGCCAAGCAAAGCTCAGTAATTACGGTCTCAGGAACAGTCTCTCAATTCGCTTAATTTACCCGCCGTAGAAGTAAATCGTACAGCTTAATGGGATATTTGAATGACGGGCATTGTCTTCGAACGTCTGTTGTCTACTGTAATCATCACCATGATTAATTCTGGAGAACATTGTGTAATTTCAGACTCATTTCTCTAATTTTCTTGAGTTTTGAGACAAGTTACAGAGGAATGCGCTAACCACATTTTTTTAAATCAGTATTAAACCAAACATGGTAAACCTTGTAAGGGGACGCGATATTTTGTAAAAAAAGAAGAAAACAGAAACGCCTTAAAAACGAAATTAACGAAAATTTCTGTTACAAATTTTATGCTAATAAATGCGCAATTGCTTAAAAAGTTTGTAGTCTTAATGTCCTTAAAAACACTACATTTCTGTTACAATATCAATACTAAATAAAAAAAAATAAGTAAAATATTTCTTAATATTAAGTCATACACAAGATTATACAGAAAATAAAGCTTCTAGAAAAATGTTTTGAAAATTCCTTTGACTGGAAAAAGTATACAAAGGAAATGAAAAAAGCTTCACTGCGTTGTTTGCGAAAATTTATCTTCTATAGTCACAATCCGCCAACGCACTGGAGCAGCGCGCCCACTAATTGTTCCATGACACTACAACTGAGGGTAGGCCTGTACCCAGCAGTAGAATGTACATAGGCTGTAATCTTACTTCACTCTTATGCTTACAATAAAGGCTCTATGTGTAGTTTAACTTATCAAGTTAAGCTTGATTAAAACAAATATGCGTGAGTGTCGCACTCGGTTGGAACGAAGTTCGTTTCGTAGTATATTATTACTGATAAACGTATTATAATATTATTGATTAACAAATACGAATAAATGAATTACCAGCGTCTATTAAAATTATGTATAATATAATAGAAATAAAAATAAAATAATATTTCTTTCATGGCAAAATAAGAAAAAGTGCGAGGGAGATGGATATTATTCAGTTTTGCTTCCTTATGACCGCCAAGGCCGTCTACAATACGTGAGAAGGGGTCGTGCCGGAAAAATCTTACACTTTTTGTCGCCTAGCCCCCATCCGACAAATCCGTACCGTTCGATAAAGAACTTCGTTCCAAAAAAATATTTTACCCGAACATAATATTAGGTCCTTACATATGAAATTGGCGTTTTGTACGAGAGGAATATAAAGTCATTTTTGGTAAAATATATTTAATTAATAAAAGTATGCACCGTTGTTATCTATGCACTTTTGCCATCTCATAGGTAGTTCATTAATCCCTTTACTAAAAAAACCATGGGGGCGAGAATCAATAAACTCTTTGAAGGCGGTTTGGACTGCCGCATCGGAGTAGAATTTTTTTCCTTGTAAGAAGTTGTCCAAATTCCGGAAAAAACGGTAATCTGTTGGAACAAAGTCCGGGGAGTACGGTGGATGTCGTACACATTCCAATTGTAGCTCATCTAACTTAGTGGTTGTTTGTTGCGCAGTGTGTGGTCTTGCGTTGTCGTGAAGCAGCAGTGGCCTAGAGCGATTGACCAATCTCGGTTGTTTAGCAGCTTGTTCTCCCTTCATGGTTTGCAGTTGCTGACAATAGATATCTGCCGTAATCGATTGGCCAGATTTTAGAAAGCGAAATGTAGTGAACGACACCGGCGCTAGTCCACCAAACACTCACAAGTAACTTTTTCTGAGTCAATTTTCGTTTAAGGCAGGATTTTGCTGGGTCTCCAGGGTTCAGTCATTGTGACGAGCGCTTTCGATTATCGTACAGTATCCATTTATCATCACAAGTAGTGATTCGATTTAAAATCCCTTCATTATTGTGTCAGTTGAGCAAAGTAACACAGCAGTCGACGCGTGTTTGCAAGTTCGATTCACTCAATTCATGCGGTACCAATCCTTCAAGTTTTTTTACTTTCCCGATTTGCTTCAATTGGATTAATACAGTTTTATCACTTACCTCGAAGCCTACAGCTATTTCTGAAGTGCTTTGTGATGGATCCGCTTCCACAATAGCCTTTAATTCTTCATTTTCCACTTAGGTCTCCGGCCGTCCACGGGGTTGGTTCTGAAGGTCGAAATTTCCAGAACGAAAACGTAGAAATCAAATACGTACTTTCCTTTGCGACACCTGCGCCGTACACATCATTAATCCTTCGAGCTGTTTCTGCAGCACTGGTGCCATGGTGGAACTCGTACTCGAAAATATACCGATATTTCATGTTTTCCATTGTGCGGTAATAAGCGACGCTAAAGAAAAAAATAATGAGGAAAAAAACAAATGAATGACTGTTTTCAAAACTCAAATGTACCAGCTAAATGAATTTATAAATTTGAATTTGAAATTCTAAATCAAAGAGAAGATATTTCAGATCAAAGTGGTCAGTACGACAAAACTCTAATTTCATATGTAAGGAGCTAATATTAAGTTTTCATTTAAATGAAATATTTTAATAATTAAAAAATAAAATAATTTAAAGTTGCTATTGTCATCACTTAGTGATAGATTATTATCATCGAATATTGTATTATATTATAATGCTGTAAGGTAAAACCGGGCGTTTATTCAACATATTATAATAATGTCCTCAAAACCGAATTTCGGCCACGGCGGCCAGCCTCAACGAAAACTCAACGAACGAACCACGAAGCTCTCTGCGCAGGAAAGGATTATATATATATAGTCCCCCAATAGTATGCACAAGTATAAGTACAGTCCCTATCCCTTCACTCTCATAGTCCGATGGGACGGTTATCCGACGCGGCCGGAGAGAGATCAGGCACAGGTCCTTTACGTGCTTTCCGAGACATGGGGGCGAAACACCGCCAACTTCCTAACTCCGGGTAAAACTCAGTAACTAATCTTGTCCCGACCCCGAATTCGGACCCGGGTTCTCATAATCAGCAAACAAATAAGACGAGTACAAATATCAATACAATAATCAAAACAATTGTAATTTTAAATTACTAAATGGGCGTTTTCGGCATAATCTTAACATAATCCTTTCTCTATCTGTCGGCAAATTGTACACATTTCTGAAGCATAAAATTCTAGTCAGTTCTGAAAAAATAATACATCAATATTTTTATCTCTGCTCAGTAGTCTTTAGTCTCATCAGAACATAGGCCTCCCCCATAGAATGTGAACATGAGAAGGATATTGCCATAAGTGTCACACTTGGTTGGCAAAAGAAGTTTTTTGTATTCGAATTGTTATTGGAAAGATACTGCTGTCCATCTTCCGTTCATTTCGCTCTGTCCACACCCAGTACGGTGTAGAACATATACTATCACTATCTGCATATTCTATCACGACTTTATACATTTTGTTTTTGTCCGTGCAGTTGCGGTATCAGTATATCCACTACACTATATTGTAAAGTAGGTGTCGCAAGAGGCGACAGCGCGAAACAAAACAGGATGTGCAACACCGTCTTCCTTATAACAACCAAAAATAAAAAAAAAACGGCGGTTGTCAAGCCTCCTGCCAAGCGCGGCAACTATGGCAAATATCTTCCCTAGTAGACAATCTGCGGGACAGGTCCCTATGTTGACCAGTGGACTTTCGATAGGCTGTTGCGGTAACGTTAAATTAAATGAAACAATAATGTATTATATATTATACGTGGTAGAGCCATGCTGCAGCTATATTAGTTGTAGCACGAATGAGTCGGCTAGACCGGAGAAGGACCACGCTCTCACAGAATACCAGCCTAAAATAGCAGCTTAACGCTGCTGTCTTTCGTATGGTGAGTGTAGAGAACCGGAGACGCTTATTACTGGAAAAGAGGCATTTCATCTTAGTCCTCACGGGTGACAACGCAATTACATTTTGGTTCGCAAACCGAGGATAAATGTAGATGTCTATGGGCCACAGCAACCACTTACCATGAGATGGATTGTGTGCTCGTTTGTCAACCTATCCCATAAAAAAATATATCTATAATATATTTTGATGGGATAGGTTATACGTACTAGAGCCATGCTGCAGCTATATTATGGTTGTAGCACGAATGGGTCGGCTCGACCGGGGAACGACCACGCCCTCATAGAATACCAGCGTAAAATAGCAGGTTAACACTGCTGTGTTTCTTATGGTGAGTGTAGAGAACCGGAGACCTTTATTACTGGAAAAGAGGCATTTCATCTTAGTCCTCACAGGTGACAACGCATCTGCATTTTGATTCTTAATCGAAGATAGATGTAGATGTCTATGGGCCACAGCAACCACTTACAATCAGGTGGATTGTGTGCTCGTTTGTCAACCTATCCCATTACAAAAATATATCTATAATATAAGGAATATATATAAGGAATGTATTATT